GACACAAACAGACACAAACAGACAGAGGGAAACCAGGAATCCCACAGAAAGGCCCCTGGACCGGGGTTTGAACCAAGGACCTGCTCGCTGAGAGGCAGCAGCTCTACCAGTTGCGCCACCGTGCTGCCCGACTTGTAGTTTTTAAACTTTTTAGTCTTTTTTAGTCCATGTTTTACTCTAGAAGTTTTATATTGTAGCACTTTGAGATTGTAAAATGTAAAGTTCAGTACAAATTGAATAAATTATTATTAAAACTCCCACCAGACATTAACTTGACTGGAATTTGGAGACTTTAAAACCTACAGCAAAACTACTCTACACAATTTTCTTAAAATTCCTCACAAATATTTCTGAGCATTAGGTGAGACCATTGTTGCAGGACAATAATGATCAGCAGGTTTGCAGAAAAAGATAACATAGCACTTTAGGCTAATTGGTAACTCTAGGTGTGTGTGAATACACTGCCTGGCCAACAAAGAAAGTCACCACCTGGATTTAACTAAGCAAACAGGTACGAGCCTCCTATTGGATAATTACTGTATGGGTGATTATCTTTCAGCTGGCAACAAGTTATTTAACCCAAACTGGTGCCATGAGTTGCTTCTCATTTCTTTAACAACCATGTTGAAAGACACATCGTGTGGTTGTGGAAAAGATGTCAGTCTGTTTGAGAAGGGTCAAATCATTGGCATCAAGCAGAGAAAATATTTAAGGAGATTGTAGAAACTACTAAAATTGGGTTAAGAACTGTCCAACGCATTATTAAAAACTGGAAGGGTAGAGGAGACGCATTGTCTTCGAGGAAGAAATGTGGCCGGAAAAAAATCCTGAATGATGGTGATCAGCGATCACTTAAACATTTGGTGAAATCAAATGGAAGAAAAAACAACAGTAGCACTCAGGGCTACGTTTAATAGTGAAGGTAAGAGCATTTCCACACGCACAATGTGAAGGGAACTCAAGGGATTGGGAATGAACATCTGTGTAGCCTTAAGAAAACCACTAAGTGAGGCTAACTGGGGAAAAAAGGCTTCAATATGCTAGGGAGCATAAAGATTGGACTCTGGAGCAATGGAAGGTCATGTGGTCTGATGAGTCCAGATTTACCCTGTTCCAGAGTGATGGGTGCATCAGGGTAAGAAGAGAGGCAGGTGAAGTGAAGCACCCATCATGCCTAGTGTCTAGTCATCAATGCAAGATCTTGGTGAAAAATTACTGCAACACTGGATGGAAATAGATGTTGTGACATTTCAGAAGTTTATCGAAACAATGCCACAGTGAATGCATGACGTCATCAAAGCTGAAGGCAGTCCAACAAAATATTAGTGACCTTTTTTTTTTTTGGTGGCAAATTTTTTTCTGGCCAGGCAGTTGTCATGTTTGTCTCTATGTGTCCCTGTGATGGACTGGACACCTGTCCAGGGTGTCCCCCTCCTCCCTCACAGTGATGGCTGGATATGGGCACCAGTAATCCCTGCAAACGGAAGAAGCGGGTAAAGAGAATGGATACAATCAAAACCATCTTTATTGCACAACAAAACCACTGGATATCTGTCGTTTGGGCTTTTCCTCATCGTTTTGTGATGTTACAAATTTACAAAAGCTCAGAAAATTTGAACTCTGCTCAAGCGTCTGATTTAACATCCTTCCATTAGTTTTTGTTGCCTGCTTTATTGTCTGCAGGGTCGTGAGGAGCTGGTGCTGATGTCCAGCAGCCTGGACAGGTCCATCACAGGGACACAAACAAAACACTCACTCCCAATTAAGGACCATCTAGTGTTACCAATTAACCCAACACACAGGTTTTTGTTCAGTGGGACAAAACTAAACCGCACTGAGGATCATAGAAACTCCAGAAAAGCTGCAGCAGAATCAACCTGAAACAATTATTTAAAAGGAGTGGATTTAAAAAAAAAAAAAAAAACAGATGAAGAGTTCTGCCTCCAGCCTTATGAGTCTATATTTTTACTGCATGGCCTCTCCTTCTTTCAGGTCTGATACAATTTAACTCCCCACTAGAAGCCAAAAAATAACTGTGAGCTACGACCTCCATGATGAAGATCTTGTTTTTAGAGGAAAAAATTACAATTTTCATGAGTTTACTCAAAGACACCAGGACTGTTTCAATCTGTTGGACAAAGAAGACGATGGACTTTAAGAGGACGATGGCACCATTACCTTGAGTTGTCCCTCTTTTGCCTCAACTTAAGGACATTTAATATGTTCAGTGGGCGGGGGGATGAGAACCATCTGAACGGGACCTGTCACACGGGTCAGGACACACCATGCGGAGTCATGCTGCTCTAATAAATTTATTCCATGATTCTTTGTTTTTATTGTGATTATTATGTTGTCAGGAGCGTGGTGAATGGGACAGCAGTAAGAGTCACAGTTCATCATCATTATTGTCATTGTCGCCATCGTTCATCATCCTTCATAATCATCTCATTTGATTTCTCTTCAAGCTAAAAATAATTTACATCACATTGATTTTTTTTGTTTTTGTTTTACTGATGTTTAAAACCACAAACATTCCAGCAGCACACTCTAGAATTAAAATGGATAACAATCAGAAAAGCATGACTTTTTGCATAGTATTAAATGAACAAAGACATTGAGTTCTTTATTTACAATTATTGTATAGATAAAAAAATATCATAAAAACAAGATGAACACTTAACTCGCTTACCCATAAATGGCTAAGTATGCCAAAATAAAAAGCTATGTGTTGGCATTTCTTTTTCTTTGTTCCACAAACTGCATGCTGCTAAATACAGTACATCGAGGCAGGTGAGAGTATATTGCAAAAAGTATCATCGATATCATCATCATCGATATCATCATATCCATGACAGGATGGTACAACACGTGTTATGACCGGGATGTGAGCACGATGTTTTGATGCTTCTGACAGGAGCGATGCATGTTTACATACAGCCACAGAGTCGCGTCATCAGTGTGAGTCTTTGTAAAGTCGTTCAAAGGAGTTCCTATTTTCACTTCAGCCCACATTGGAACTGCAGCGCTCTATTTACAAAATATTAATAATAAATTAAAAAATTGAAGCCTCATTGCATTCTATTAAAGCTCAAAGTCCTTCAAGATGTAAAAACGGTTTGAGAAAGCTGACTGAAGTCTGTTTTTATTTTTTCAACTGGAAATGCTATAGTTATGTTTTATTGTTTCATTTATTGTCTTTTTTTGTTTGTTTGTTTGTACAGACAAATAAACTGTCAAATCATTTAATCAAAGATACAAACTGTTTGTGAAATGAACAAACTGTCAAGATAAAATAAACCAACAGCTTCTAAATGTGAACACCAGAACCCAAACTCTTTGGAGTAAAAACAAATCTGAACAAGGTGTTTTTTTGAAATGCCTGAGCTGACTCATAAAGCTGAGCAATGACAGAGGAGGATATAAAACAAACAAAAAAATTAAAACTGTTTAGATAAATAATTGCTTATACTCTCTAATAAATAGGATTTCTTTTCACATTGCATAATGAGCCTACTGTATCACATCATGCTTGCCACGGACTTGGATTAGTTAGAGTTATAATAGTAGAAGCTAGTTAGGCGGCCCTGTCCCTCTGAGTGCACCAAGATGAGTTCAATGTGCCTTCTGCATGGTACGTCGCTCTGGAAACGTCTGATTGGTCAAAGTACAATAAATAGTTTACAACTAGTGAGTACAGTTGAGATGCTAGAGTACTGTATATTCGGTGACGGCAGGAAGACAAGCTTGGTTAAAACACACAAAAGCACATCTAAAGTTACACCACAGAAGATTTCATTCATAACCAGATAGTGCAGAAAATCTTTTTTTTTTAATATATATATATATATATATATATATATATATATATATATATAT